GTAAATGAGCATACTATTTTTTACAACAAAAGATATTAAATATATTATTAATCATTAATATTATTTTTTACATAATTTTTGCATTAAATAACAGAATTAAAAGGGTAAATATCAATCTAAATGAATCATTATTTAAATATTATATATTAATTTGCGACCCGGATACCAATCAGTGAATGAAAATTGATTTTATATTTAAATTCAAGAATCTTTAGTTGTCACTAAGGAAACTTCTATTTTCAAGATATTAAATCACGAGTCAGATGTCTTGAATTACAACTTGGAACCAATAGCTATCCCTATATGATTGATACCATTGTTAAGTTTGAGAGAAGGAAAATCCACTGATATATTTGATATTCAAGTGTTGAAAGTGAAGGTTGGTTAAATAGAAATGTAAGTGAAATTGGCAATGGAATAATTTAAATGGTTTTGAGAAAAAACTATTTATCCAGGAACGATTGAAAATCTGGTAAAGAAAATGATGATGTTCTTTAAACTGAAAAATGAAAATGATAATGATGATATTTAGATTATTTAAATCATAAGTATGTAATTATTATTATTCTCATTTTGATACATATTTATTAGTATTAAAATCTATTATTATTGTTATATTATAATATTTTTATTTATTCCTAAAAAGAATAGAAAAAAACTCTCAGTGTATCTTGTATTGTACCTCTAGTTTACTCCATACAATACAACTGAAGTTTCCTTCAGGAGTACAAAAAGCATGAAATTCTCATATTTTCTGACAAAGCCATAGCATTGGATAATTGGATTATATCTTTCAAGTCTTAATGGTATTTGCAAGCAACAGATACTACTGCCCGTCTTCTTGCAAATGAAATCCACATTTCTCAGCTCTTTCCTAGTTTGAAACACTGGAGGCATGCCGTGAAGTCATTTTAGGTGATTTAAAAGATAAATAAATATGGATGCCGTAAGGAATGATTTTTTGATTCAAATGTGAGTGTTGAGGTTTAGAATTCTACTTGTAAGATCGCAATAATGAAGACGAAAATCATGATCTCCATGTGTGAATGAATCGAATGGATTTAACAAAAGGTGCAAAAGCGGGCGAACGATTGAATTATTACGTCGTCTAGTCATTTAGAATTCTGGCTTGAGTTATAATTATTTGAATGTATTGTGGAGATGTATTCATTCGTGGATGCGTTTTAATTATATCGTTCAGTTAAAATGAGAATTTTTTCTTTAGAAATGATTGATGAACTGGAATGTAAAGGTAAATTATAGAAGAAATGGAAGGTCAGGAGAAAGGCATAAGTTTAATTAATAGAATAACTACTCATATTTTGTAATTTAGGCAGTTGAATTTCAAAGGTTAAAATTAAAATTCCTTAAAATAGAATTATAGTAAACAGTATTTACAAAATTTAAAATTAATGTCATTAGAAACAACTGTAACAGGATTAAATTCTATTACAAATTGGATTGTCCTGGCTGTATATTAACTCGTCTCAGTTAAAGTGTGTCTTGCATTAGATTGAAACATTTTTTCATCCAGCAAGCATATGCTGCCTTTTGATAGCGCTACTCAAAAATATTTTGTTCTTTTTAACACATTTGAATTTGCTTTGAATGTTTAATTTTAGGAAATTAACTCGTTTTTATTACAACATTTGTTTTGATTCGGAATTACTTGAATTTTTAAATGCGAAAGTCTCTTAATTTCGGATGAGTTGATGTTCTTTTAGCTAAAACCAATCATAATTCGATTAATTTTTTTCGAAAATATTTAGACAACTACTTTCCGACCCTTAAACAAATATTCATGCTCTTAAAAAACTTTATTAAATAGACAAAAGTTTAAGAATGTGCACCCCCATCAATCTGACACGAAACTCATTTTATTCTTACTTCAGATGTTTAATAATTTTATTTTTTCTGTTAAATAAACAAAACAAAAGAAGTGAATTTTGTGTAACGGACTATGTCAATATTTAACAATGTTACGGAGTTCAATTTTTTTTGGTTCGTATCTTTATTTGGAATTTGTTTGTTTTGTGTTATCGTTATGCAAAAAAAAATATAGGAATAGAAAAATTAAATATTTTACTGATTAAAAATCTTATTCGAATTATCTCTTTCGCATCCCGTCCATTTGTTTATTTATTTAATTAGTTTTGTTTCATTGGCACAAAATTATTTTATATTGCACTCAGTTTTCTTATTACTTTTATGTATATATATATATACACACAATATATTATGTGTCTCATACAATTTAAATTAATATAATATAATTTGCCTATATTATTTCCTGCGTACATATATTACAATTACTAATAAATAATTAAAGTCGATTTAATAAACTTTATATATCAACTTTATCAAAAATACAAACCCATGGTAATTTCATAATATTATATTTTTATTCTGTAAATAAATTAATAAACAATAAATTAATATTAATTAATTATTTATTTATATTTACACATTTAAATAATATTAACTTTAAATTAAATAGGAAATTCCTCCTCCAAAAAATGAATGGAATGAGAAATTTAACATTATTTGGGATAAATCATTTTATTCTCTAGATACCAATATTTATCGTACAATTACTTCGCAAGAAGAATATCAAAAAAATATGGTTAAAAATGATTCAACTCTCACAGAAAATGAAAAGAATTTTTTACTTGATAGAATTCAAAAATTATATGATGCATATAAAATTGGTAATAGTTCCGTAGAAAAACGACAATGTAATAATTGTCAGAATTGGCATCAAGCGACCCAATACTGTGAATTTTGTATTCGTAAATATTTAGAAAATGATTTTGGAAATTGGACATCTGGAAATAATGAAATTGATAAGTTAATTCAAGAATGTCAGCAAAAAACTATAGCACCCGATAGTGTAATTGAATGGATTGAATATAATCAATTTGAGAATATTGAACACCTGACAGAAGGAGGATGTGCTACCATCTATACAGCTATTTGGAAAGATGGATTCTATGATGAATGGAATTCTTTAAAACAAACATTGAATAGATTAGGTGGACAAAAGATTGTTTTGAAAAGATTGAATAACTCAAATATTAATAATGTGAATTGGTTTCAAGAAGTAGGTTAAATTATTATTTTTATATTCTGTTTGATATTTCAGAAATATTAATTACATAAATACAAAAAATTATTAGGTGATATTAAGTTTCACACTTGATAAAACTTCCACTTTTCTTGCCAAATGTTTTGGACTGACCAAAGATCCAACCACTCAAGATTATATGTTAGTTTTAAATTATTATCAAAATGATTTAAGACATTTTTTAAAAGATAGTTATCACTCACTTACATTATTACAAAAATATAAAACTATTGGTCATATAGCAGGTAGCTTAACTAGAATTCATGGACAAGATACAATGCACAGAGATTTACACTCAGGGAATATTCTATATTTAGCACCAGTTTCTTCCTGGTATATTAGTGATTTGGGATTGAGCGGACCAGTTGAAAAACAATCAAATAGTATATATGGGAATCTCCCATACATTGCTCCGGAAGTTCTCTGTGGTGAAACTTATACAAAAAAATCAGATATATATAGTATGGGTATATTAATGTGGGAAGTTATAACTGGTGAAACACCCTTTGATGAATATGAACATGATTTGGATTTAACTCTTGATATAGTCAACGGATGTCGACCAAAGATTTACGAATATATTCCATGTGAATATGCAGTTTTAATGAAACAATGTTGGTATGCTGATCCTGAAAATAGACCTGTTGCATACATAGTTAATGAAAAGATGAGAATATTAATTAAGTCGTTATATAATGAAATGGATAAACCTAAAAATTTAAAATCAAAAGTCAAAAATTTCTTTAAATTAAAATCAAAAAAAAGATAAAAATAGTCAAGTAATTAAAAATACAAAAAGTAAATTATATCGAATGCAAAACAGTAAAGTTTATACATTCAACATTACAATTAAACCTAGAAATACCACTCATGGTAAATGCATTGTATATTATCTCCTTTTTTTATTGTTTTATTTTTATTGATTTATTAATTATTTACTATTTATTTTAAATTGTTATTTATTTTTAATAGAAGAACAACTAGGTAAGTTAACTCTAATTTTTTGATCAGATGAAATCTATATTTAATCCATATCAAAATAATATGAATGTTTACATAACCATTTAGCATTTGAATCCAGACAAATTGATCTTGAAATTTCTGAAGGTAAATTTATTTATTTATATAAAATATTTATTGTTGTTTTATTCATGAAACTTAGTGAGTTTATTTTAATAATGTAATCATAGAAATGCAACAACAGTATCTTAAAAGTATTGAAGACAATAGTCCACGTGGTAATTGATGTGATATGATAACATTATTATTTTTTATTTATTTTTAAGTCATTACATGGTTGCATTATTTAATATTTTTATTTTTTTAAAAAAAAAATCAGATGATCGAGAATTTGGAATCGCTGGTCCTTCAAATTCAGGCTCACAATTTCAATCCTAAATATTTATTTATTTATTTATTATTATTTTCATATTTTTGTTATTTTGATAACTACTAATTAGATAATTCACGTGTTATTCCACTGATTTTATTTACTAACTAATTTTTTTAATTTTTTTTTGTTTTGTGCAAATAAACCTACCGATGTCTGATTCCTTTTTTTGAATATTATAAAACAATGTTTCCAATGTTTCATTTGAATAACGAGAAATGTAAAACCTATCTGTTTATAATTAGGATATTATCGCAATTTAACTGCTACACTTTCTTGCGAACATCTTAAGTTTGTTTCCTTGTACTATATAGTTATAATAATATAGATGCGAAAGCAGTTAATAAGAATAAAAAAATCAAAACCTTATGACGAACTGATTCGAACTAAAATAAGTTCCACTAAACTATGTGTACTCGATTTAATCCATCGACGACGCTAAGAATGGCGGCTTTAAGATAGCAAAACTTTAAAATTTGTCAGGAATCATAACGGAAATTTTCGTAATAATAATAGATAACGATCTTGTTTTTTATGTAAAGTTTCTACAGTATATGAAGAATGCATCTCAACAATATCTTTGTTGGCAAGAATTGGTAATGAATATTTCGCAATTTTAGGTGTCTTAATATTATTCACACCTCCAAATATTAACTTTCCAAATTTATGTAGTATTCAAAACCTTTGAAAAATATTAAAGATTAACATTGTTATATGTATCTTTTAAAAATCTTTTAAACTTGAATCTCTGTCCCCCCCCATCTTGCAATTACATTTGTTATCTTCGTTTCACACCAAAGTCCCAGATAAATGATCACGTTCTATAGAGGTAGCAATTGCCATTCGATCAACACCATCAGGGTTAACAGGTGTATCTGCATCCACCATTTCACATTTATCAGGCGCAGCATTAGTCCATTAACAAACTTTTTCATATAATTCAAATTCTAAGCTCATAACAAATGAGACAAGCATTTCATCAATATAAGCTGAGATTCTTGTTTCCTGCTTTTTTACCTTCTCTTTCTCATGAACTAAAAAAGCCCATTGGAACTCAATGATTGTCAACATTATAATAAGCAAAATAAGATTTAAGTTCTAGATTGTTTAGGCCAGCTGAATTTCGACAAAACTATGATATTTATTTACTATTTAATGATCCTTTTTGGGAAATTTCTATCATTGTATGCATATTTATGGTATCTCACCAATTGTTTTACGTTACGTAGGAAATGTTTATTTATATTAACACCTAATTTTTTTTGGTTGGATTTGATCTTTAACTTTATCAGGTAAAATTAAATTAAGTATCCCCATATCATTACAGATCCACCACCAAATTTTACAGTAGGCTTAATATGGAAGAAATTTAGTGGTTCCTCAGGACGCTTCCAATAATATTGTTTCCCATCAGATCCAAAAGCTTTAAATTTTGATTCGTCAGACCATATTACCTTTGACCAATCATTAATTGTCCAATTTTCATATTTTCGTGCAAAATTTAGATGACGCTTTTGGTGTTCTTTACTCAATAAAGTTTTTTCCTTTTAATTCTTGATACTAATCCACCATTTTGAAGTATACGTCGAATAGTAAGTGCTGAGATATCAATATTTTCTTGCTCTTGTAGATGGCTTTGAATTTCAACAGCAGATGAACACCTGCGAGAAGTAATAAGATTTATAATTTTTTTTGTGTCGGGTTATTTGTAATAGGTGGATGACCTGACTTTGGCAGATTTTCAACAGAGTGGTTTTCAAGTCATCTTTTCTTAATACAAGAAACTGTAGATGGATTAATATGTCACGTTTTTGATATTTGTCTTGTAGTGTATCCTTTTTGTAGCAAAAGAAGAATTTGAACTCTCTTTGCGGGTTGCATGATTTTTTTTGCTGTAACTTGTTTATCAAGAAGTCGCAACATGGTACAACATCAAAAAAATAACAAATTTTACTTTTTGCGTGATTTTATGTATCACAATAATTACAATTTGTAATCCTTGTTAAAAACGATCAAAAATAGTGCAACACACATTTCATACTACACTACAGTTATTTTGGATCTAGTAATAATAACAACTGCCAAGATTTTACTTTCAAAAACTAATACTATTAACAAATAAATAATAATAATAATAATAAACAATATCTTCAGAATTGCATGAAATAATTTGATTTAATGTAATTTTTTTTTGTTGCATTACTTATAATCGCCACTGTATATATACTTCACTTATTTGCAACGGTTGTGGAATTCGTGTAACCTATCATTTTTTTAATTCTTAAAATGCTCCCATATGTCAAATGAGAATAATATTAAAATAATTAACATTTCTGCTCAAATTTTAATATCAATGATAAATACAGTGGTGTTCAAAAAAAATGACAATTTTTTAAAAAAATGATCAACAAGTGTAACTATTCCGATTTTGGCCAGA